TTCCTGCTTTAGGAGAAGTTTGCAGCGATCAGCAGCTAGGATTGGGTCAGAAACTATGTTGGAATTAACATGTTGCAGTTGTTAGCCAAATGGGCTCGTTTCCCCCTGGAGCTGCCCAATTACCCCAAGGAGGCATGGGAGTCTAAAAGACGGTTTCAAGTTCTTTATTGATCAGTCAGCTGAGCGGGTGTCCCCCCTCGACTAATGCCAGAGGGAGGAGCACAACTTACAAGCGCAGAGCAAGCTTTTTTTAGCTTCTGTATCTTGAACCAGGAGGAGCCATGAGGCTCCTTCTCGTGCGGCCTCCTTTGCGGCCTGATCAGCCAATTGATTATATCTACGCTGTTTGGCCTCCGGGGCCCTTCCATGGGCACGCACATGTATTACGGCAACCCGGAGGGGAAGCATCAGGGCCTCAAGAAGTGTTTTGATGAGGTTCCCATGTGCAATTCTCTGGCCTGAAGCTGTGATAAATCCCCTTTCTCTCCACAGGGTCCCGTGAGCATGTACCACCATGTAGGCATAGCGACTATATACAGGTATACAGGTTAATAGTTTTCCCAGTCCCCAACCGGAGAGCCTCAATAAGAGCCACTAGCTCCGCCGCTTGGGCGGACAAATTAGGGCTAAGTTTAAACTTGTGTACTCCTTTGTCCTTAATTACTACTGCTGCTCCGGTATACCGCTTGCCATCTATCACATAGCTGGACCCGTCAACGTACCCTTCAATTTCAAGGTCGGGCCAAGGCAAGTCCGAGAGGTCAGGGCAGTGTTTGGTTTCCTGTTGCAAGACTTCAATACAGTCATGAGTGGGGCTGGTCTTCTGGGAAACCTGAGGGTCGGGCAATAGGGTAGCTGGGTTGAGGGAGCTAACTGTCCTAAAGGTTAAGTTAGGAGCTAGCAAGAGCCCTACTTCATATCTGGTATGTCGACTGGGATTTAGATGCTTTTCCCCAGCGCCTGTCCCCAGTATTTGAGGCATCCCATGGAGGACCACAACCTCAGTGTCCCGTCCCCCCCACAGGGTCAACTTTTCAGCCTCCTGAACAAGGAGAGCGGTGGCTGCAATGGCCCGTAAACAGGCAGGCCACCCCTTGGCGACAGGGTCCAGCACCTTTGAGTAGTATCCAATGGGTCGCCAGGTTGGTCCCGACCTTTGGCACAGAACTCCAGCAGCCACCCCTCTTCTCTCGTGAACTTATAGGGTAAATGGTCTCCGGGGGTCTGGGAGGGCTAGAGCGGGAGGCTGAACCAAGGCTTCTTTTAGCTCTCGAAATGCTTTTTCCATCTCTCTGGTCCACGTCCAATGGAGCAGACCTTCTTTAGTTAAGGATTCATATAATGGCTTGGCTCTTCCCCCGTAGTCAGGGATCCAGAGCCGACAAAAGCCAGTCAATCCCAGAAAAGCCCTTAATTCTCGGGGGTTCCGGGGTTGAGGGCTATTAAGTATAACCTGGATTCTTTCTTTACCCAGACTACGACTTCCTTGGCACAAATGATATCCAAGAAAAGTGACCTGCTGCTTAACCAGCTGAGCTTTTTCCTTTGAGACCTTATACCCCTGTGCCCCAAGGTAATTAAGGAGCTCTATAGTTTGCTCTTTACAGGCTACCTCTGTTTCAGTACTTAAGAGCAAATCATCGCAATACTGGACTATGTTGCATGAAGGGTGTTTAGCCAGGAATGGGGTGAGGTCCCTTCTTAACTGGCTGCCAAAAATCTCGGGTGCACAGGTAAGTCCTTGTGGGACAACGGTCCAAAGGTATTGAGCTTTGTAGTGGGTATCTGGGTCCTCCCACTCAAAGGCAAACAGTCTTTGAGACTCCTGATCAAGGGGGATGGAAAAGAAGGCATCTTTTAAATCTATAACAGAGAACCAATGGTGGTTCTTGGGATCCTGTCCCAGAATAGTATGGGGATTCGGGACGACTGGATAGGGGGCTTCTATTAACTTGTTAATTTGTCTTAGGTCCTGGACCAACCGATACTGCCCATTAGGCTTAGGCACCCCCATTATCGGAGTATTGTATGGGGACGTGCCTTCCCTGAGCCACCCGCACTGCAGAAACTTTTGAATCAGAGGTTTTAACCCGATTCTAGTGGTCAGCTTAAGAGGGTATTGTCGAATTCGGACCGGGTTGCTTCCTTCCTTAAGGGAAATATGCACTGGTGAAGCATTCCAGGCCGAGAGACGCCTCCCTCCTCCGCCCAAACCTCAAGGTTAACCCCTGACAGCTGGCTCCCTTCATTCCTCCCCTAGCATTCCGGGGGGAGATTTCTAGCATTTATGAGGGCCATCTGGTAGTTGGAGGTTTGCTGTTTAGGAAGTCTAACTTCCATAGTCCCATTGTCGAACGAGATTTCCGCCTGCAGTTTAGTAAGGATATCTCGTCCAAGCAGCGCGATGGGGCAAGAGGGGCTGTAGACAAACTGGTGGGAAATTTGACGGTCCCCTATTTTTACTAGGAGAGGCAGAGTTTTTTCCAATGCTGTAGTTTGTCCCTCAATCCCCTGGACTATGGCACGTCCCCGAGCTCTACCTCGGGGAGCCTTATTAAGGGGGAGAAAACTAAGAGTGGCCCCAGTATCAATAAGGGCTTCAATTGGGTGGCCCTCCACTTTAATTTTTACCGTGGGATCCAGGCTGGCAGCTTGTGCTGTCAGGAGGGGCTGCTGGGTCCCCTGGCCCCCTTATGGGAAAGACTCCTCCCCTGAACATCCTGTACTGTTGCAGAGGATGGGAAGGGACGGGGTTTTATCTTTACATTCCTTTCCCCTGGCCTGTCGCCGGGGGCACTCATTCTTCCAGTGCCCCTCTTCCCTACAGATAGCACACTGATTTCGACCCAGGCGGGGGCCCTGCCCCTTCCCCAATGGCCCTGGCCGTCCCTTAACTTTGTCCCCCCTTTCTTCATATCCTTCCCTTAGGGCCATGGCTAAAATGCGGGCCCCTTTCTTCCGCTCCTCATCATCCCTCCGATCATAAACCTTCATGGCAATTTCTAAAAGTTCCTCTATATTCTTGCCCGACGCCCCCTCCAACTTCTGCAACTTTTTCCTAATGTCCTCATAGGACTGTCCAATGAAAAGGGGGATTAGTACCCGTTTCCCGTTGGTGTCCTCAGGATCGAGGTCTGTGTATCTTTTACAGGTATACAAAGCCGCTCATAAAAAGCAGCGGGGTTTTCATTTCTTTCCTGTCTTATATTATATAACTTAGCCC